CAATCTAGTTACTAAAAGTACATTTTCATACAGGAAGATCTTCCTCAACCTGAGTCACCTCAATACAATCAATCTCACTCATTTACACACAAACCAAATGAAGAAGAAGAAGAAGAAGATAACCACAATGACTCCAACCCTACAACTGCTACAATTTCAATTTCAAGTTCAGAAACCGATGTTTCCACTTTAAGAAACCGAATAGCATCTCTCAACATCTCCAACATTCCAAAATTAGAAACTGAAAGAAACCAAGAACATCCACACCACCAACAACAAAGAAACATGTCTCATGTTCATGCTCATGGGGCCCACCCTCAAATCGTCTCATTACCTCAAACATACATTGGAATGAATATGAATCAATTTCTTCAAAATCCCACCAATTTTGTGTCTGAAGTGCAACCGATTTTACAATCCTCCGGGTTCACCCCACCATATGCCCCTGATCCAGCATATATTTACCCGAATGTAATACCCACGGGTTACTTTCATGGATACGGGTTTAACCCATCACCATTTTCACCACATGCAACCGGATATCTTCCTAATAGTCCTCTTCCAACGCCTTTCAGTGGTCAAAGTCAAACCCCAGGGGTAAATTTGTCACATTTCAACAATTTTTATGGACATCTTGGGGTACCCTTTCAACTTCCGGTTCGTGGGGAGGATCCGAAACTACAATCTTTAGGGTTTGACTCGAGAAGGGTAGGGACAACGGGTTCTTATTATTTTGGTAGCCCTGGAAATTTGGATTTTTCACAATTTACGAATTCGCCCTTTGCAAGTCCGGTGATTCCGGGGTCTCCGATTGGTGGGGCTAGTTATTCTGGTCGGAGGAATGAAGGGATGTATCGGGGGTGGAAGGGTAATTTGGGAAATCAGGTTATTGATGATCCGAAAACGTATTCTTTTCTTGAAGAGTTGAAATCGGGTAAGGGTAGGAGGTTAGAGCTATCGGACATTTTTGGACATATTGTTGAGTTCAGGCAAGTTCTAATTCCCTTTTTCTTTTTCTCTTTTTAATTTCCCGAATTAGGTGTTGTTTCTTTTTGCATCAAGTCGATTAATAATAAACTCGAAGCAATTTGCTTTTTCTTATACAATTGTTACAGTGTTGATCAACATGGAAGTCGTTTCATTCAGCAGAAGTTGGAAATTTGTAGCAATGAGGAGAAAGAATCTGTATTTAAAGAAGTTCTTCCTCATGCTTCCAAACTAATGACAGATGTTTTCGGTAATTATGTTATTCAAAAGGTGAGATACCACTACCACACCTTATTGTATACTTTAATTTATGCAATAACGTTTTAGGTTTTTCCCAATTTATTCAATAAAGTTGGTTTTTAGACAGAATATACAAACAATATTTCATTTTAGCACAACAAATGCCATAAAATATGGTTGCATAATTCGTGTCTTCTTATATTTTTAGTTCTTTGAGTATGGAAGTGTTGAACAAAGAAGGGAGCTTGGAAACCAACTTGAAGGTCAAATATTGCCTTTAAGCCTCCAAATGTATGGTTGTCGTGTAATCCAAAAGGTATATATTTTAGACCTCTTCTTTCCACTATGGCCCACACAGAACATGACAGGACAGGTTGTACTGTGTTTGACATGCATTCGACTGTGTCTGAGACTAATGTCAATCTGACTAAAAGCTACTTTTTGTCCCACCTAAAAAAGTAAGACGAGATATGTTGTATGTGCAAAAGACATAATAAAAAATAGCCCCTCTAAAGCTTTTCGAGTCTTGTCTTGTGTAAAAAGACGTGAATGCCCTTCTCAACCTTTATTTTAACTCGTGTATTTTATCAAATTTCTTGTAGGCTCTTGATGCAATCGATCTAGAACAAAAAACGAAACTTGTCCATGAACTCAATGGGCATGTTTTAAAATGTGTTCGTGATCAAAATGGAAATCATGTGATACAAAAATGTATTGAAAGTATTCCAACCGATAAAATCAGGTTTGTGATCTCATCTTTTCGTGGTCAAGTTGCAGCCTTGTCAAAACATCCATACGGTTGCCGTGTCATACAGGTTAAAATTTGTCGCATTTTGATTTATTTATTTATAATCTTTTTTGATAATGTGGTAAATTCATTTTATATTGTTTTTTTTAATAGAGGGTACTAGAACACTCTACTGATGAACTTCACAGCCAATTTATAGTGGATGAAATTTTGGAATCGGTTTATGATCTTGCACAAGATCAGTATGGAAATTATGTAACTCAGGTTTGTTAACTCTAAATCACAAGATGCATCAACTTAAACTCAAAGACCCTTTTTTTGTGAAAAGTTGAGTCATTTTTTATTCGCAAACAGAAGGGTAAAATGGTCATTTTCTCACGGTTAAGATAGTTGATTTTTTCAATTATAATCACTTGTTTGCTTGTGGTGTTTGGTAGTATGTGTTGGAAGGTGGAAAACCGGAGGAAAGAAGACAAATTGTAGATAAGTTGGAAGGTCATATAGTACAACTAAGTCAACACAAATTTGCATCAAATGTTATTGAAAAATGTTTGGAATATGGTGACTCGGATACAAGAGAAATCATGATCCAAGAGATTATTGGATATGGTGAAGGCAACGATAATTTATTGGTGAGTCAAATCAAATCCTAATAATGAAACTCACTCTATGCAAAAGACATGAATGCCCTTTCTCAACTTACTGAAAGTAGTATCCCATGAAAGCAAGCTTTGGAATACTATTTTGACGTGTGGTTCTACGAGGGTATTTTGGTAATTGTGTATTATATTTTGATGTGTTAGGTGATGGTGAAGGACCAATTTGCAAATTATGTTGTCCAAAAGGTTCTTCAAACATGTAGTGGGCCCCAAAGGGAAGTGTTACTTGGTAGGATTAAAATCCATTTGAATTCATTGAAGAAGTATACGTATGGGAAACATATTGTTGCTCGTTTTGAACAACTCTATGGTGAAGGCAAGTGTAATTGAATCTCTTTCATGATCTCAAATTAGCAATCAAGATTGATAAATGATGCTTTTTTTTTTTTTGGTTTAATTTTATGACATGCAGAAATTGAGGCGTCGGGTTCATAATGATTGGGGTTATAAGAAGGATTATGCAGAATAGAATGTGAATAGATGAATTACAAGTTTAAGTGTGTTGTTGTTTAACTATTCTTTAGCAACAAGTTACCAAAATTAGGCTTCTATGTGGTGTTCCTTTGTGTGTTGTATATATGTATATGTGTTTCTTGTTGCCATGGGGTATGAAAGTGGATTGTTTGGGTAGTCACGGGTGGAAGTGCAATAGTGCTATATTGTTGGATATTTTAATGCAAATTTATAGTATCTAAACCAAGCTAGCAAACAAGCACAAACTGATAACCCTAATAGCGAATTATGAAACTACATTGGACCAAACTTTATACAATTTGTGACTTCAAGAATTTAACAATTTAGATATTTTGTCACTTTGGAAAAATAAAAAAGGAACAGAAGTTTCCGATAAGCTGGTCTCTACTTTACTAATTGTTCAAACTTTTATGATAGATGGGGGATTATATCACAATGGTGAACAAAACTTACACCTCAATCGGTAGATGTGTGTTTATTTAAAAGATTACTTAGATAGAGTGTAACACATACAACATATGGTATCACTTGAGGGTAAAAATGTATACTAGATAGAGAAATAACATGAAGATTATCAATGTCCCCTAGAGGGAGACAAAGAAGGCGACAACAATTCAATATATCAAAGACCAAACCAAACACAGATGGTGACAATTAAGTTTCTAAATCGAAAGACAGACCAAAGACGAAGACAATAACAAATACTTATTGTATTTTTATAAATAATTGGCGGATGACAGCATTGTCAACCCTAATGTTAATAATGTCAAATGTGTAAGAGTATATTAATTATATCTAGTAATTTTACTAGTATAAATATCACCATTATAAATACGAAAGACACCATTTTGAATACATTCTACTAAGTATTCAAAATCAAGTCTTCATCATTCTCTCCACAAAAGTTTTCGTTTAATTTTGTTAAATTTTATTTTAATTAAGTCGAACTTATAACATGTTATCAACACGAGAGCTCTAATCAAGATAGTTAAACAAGTGGAAATCACATTTATCCCAATCAAGTTAAGATATATCCAACATTGCAAAGCTCGAGTTTGTAACACTCGAAGTCAGTCAAAGAAATTATATGTCATGGATGATAGTTGTAAAAATGTATCTCGAGTCCATGGACATTCCTGATACAATAAATAAAATTAATGATTGTTTTGCGATAAAGCAAAAACATAAGTTTTCCTTTGTATGCATATCGATGAAATGTTCAGATTTAAATATTTTGATATTATTGATCCAAGCAATCTCTGGATATTTGAACATCAAAAGGAATTTATACTTCTAAATGTTAGAGATAAATGGAGAACTTTGAGGTTTCAGGACTTTAAGAAAGTGGATGCATACAAGTTTTGTTATAATATGTACACAACTCAAATATTGTGGATATGAGCTTATTGATGAAGATATGTTGGAGAAAACTTACTCCATATTTTATGCAACAAACATTACCTTGATGCAACAATATTGGCTGCAAAGGTTCACAAAATATTTTAAAATAAATGCATGTTTCCTTGTTGCAGAGCAAAATAATGAGGTCTTGCTGAAAAACCACCAATCCCGTCCAATAGGATAAGTAGCACTTCCTGAAGAAAATTCTACCAATAATGATGGTCCTAGAAACAATACATGTGGACGAGGATGTGGTCGTGGTGGTGGATGAGGTCGTGACTTTGGTCGTAGTCGTTTTAGCTTAAACCAAAACCACAATTTTAGGCGTGGAAGAGGTAATTCTTATAATCATGGTCATGGCCGGAAAATAATAATTACCATGTTCCGCAAATAAACAATGTTAAACCATAAGAGGGGGCCAAAGTGGCAAGACATAATGTTGAGACATCATATAACTTTCATGGTTTATGTTATAGATGTGGTAGCACCGGTCATTGGTCAAGGACTTGTTGTACACCTGCACATTTTTTTTAACTTTATCAAGAATTCATTAAAAGAAAATGAAAAGTAGTAAACGGCATTGATGATGTTGAATTTACTAATCTAAATGTTCTCTTTTTTTTTTTTGGCATTACACAAAAAAACAGACTAAAGATTTATGTTGTTTCTTGTAACCTCATTTTCTTCCTTTATTTTTCAATATCTTTCCTAAAATAAATGAACTTTATGATAATTAATTATGTTTATAGACTCATTATAATTAGAAAATGTTAGAGATCGTGAAGTTCAATATGAGTTCAACGGAAGCATAATAATTAGAAAATGTTAGAGATCTTTATATACCAGATAGTGGTACCATACAAATTATTCTAATATCTAAGATATACTTTTCAAAATTAGTACCAACAAAATCAATCATACATACAATATTAGGTCTTACAGACTTGGTAGAAAGAACAGAAAAAACTCATTTTACATTACTAAATGGTACAAGCTTTTGCTTAGATAATGCTTATTTTCTCCAAAGTCAAATAGAAACCTATTGAGTTTCAATGACATGTATGTAAATGGATATGACACTCAAAGTGTTACCATCGAAAATAAGAATCATATGTATATTATAGATAAGAACAAGAACTATGTGTTAAAACACTATCAATACTTGATTCTAGTCTACACTACACATATATACATGTGACTGAATCAAATATGGTAGTTACAGAAAAACATTATAATCCTAGGACATTTAGTTTATGGCATGACAGGTTGGGGCATCTAGATTAACAATGATGTTAAAGATAATTGAGGTTACACATAGACATCCATTAAAGTACCAAAAGTTCCCTAGGTAAGATAAGACCATGTACATATTGTTCCTTTGGAAAATTAATTACAAAATCTTCCCCAATGAAGGTTGATAAATAATGATTTTTTTTCTTGGTTTAATTTTATGACATGCAGAAATTGAGGTGTCAGGTTTATAAGGATTATACATAATAGAATGTAAATAGATGAAATACATTCGAATTGTTTGTTTCACCACGCATGTGCCATTTTGATGTTTATCTTGACAAATACAAAACCACTTCGATTATGTACGATCTTATACCATAATCCTCTTTTTTCTTTTTAAATAAAATTAATAATCAATGCATTAAATAAGATTAGAAATCCTATATCACAATAATACTCCAAACTCAAGTTTTTTACTCATAAAAACTTTACACCTTTCTTAAATAAAGCAAAAAATCCAGCAAGTTCAATGGTGCAATTTTTGTTCTCAACATAATAAGTTAAATTTTTTGAGGTATCTTATATTTCTAACAGAAAGTGAATATACGCTTATCTGACGTCACCATTCTTTTTGCCGGGGTGGTCCCCACAATCCTCTCCAGCTGAACAAAAAATTTTAATAAATAATTAAAAAAGATTAAAAAAGAAAAAGAAAAAAGTAAAGTAGCAAATAATAATGGTTACCCGAAGAAGATCAAAGCGTGAGAATAGCACTGTACAGTTCATGCTATGTGATCCTTCAAGCATATTCACAATCTGCATAAACAAAAAAAAGTCAAAACCCACATTATGAAACAAAAAAACTACAAAAGAGGGTATTTTCGTAAATTAAACAGAAAATTAGAGTTAGAAGAACATGCCTCGGGGTAAATCTCTTTCCTCTCGGGAAGCGAATAAATTATTAAATTCTGAATTCCACGAATCTGTTTTTCAATACAGATTAAGTTAGAAATTAATTCAATGGTTATTGGTTAAAAAAAAATATAGTGGTTTGTTTTTATTGAAATTGGGTTTATAAAAAAGGAGGTTAATTTAATTTACCTTATATCTGTGGTAAAAATGGGCTCTTTCAGTGTACAACATAATCTTGCGTTTTCCTTGAAAGAACCAAACTCGTGCACGTGATATATCACTTTGTTCTGTATACCTAAAATGTCATAAAATGATTAAATACTATATAACAATTTTATGATTTAAAAAAATAATAATAATAAATAAATAAATTCTCACTCTCCAAGTAGACACATGGATGCATCTTGAGACTTCAAGAAGTTTCGTACACGAACAAACTCAAAGTAAGAACTAATAAATATCATAACTCCACCCTGCAGATTATAAAAACATTTTACTTTTCTTTATTTTTTATTAAAATAAGAGCTGAATGCAAGACATGTAATTGTATAATAAGCACTTACCCCATATAATTATAATACCTGGACAGAATCTTTAATCTTTGGGAAGACCTACAAAACAAGAAACATGAAAATTGTCAAATGTGATGAGAGGAGGGCATTTAAGTCTTTTGCACACATTGTTCTTTTGAAAAAAAGAAAAAAAAATAAAACCTTTTTCTTGAAGTATTCAAGGCGGGAGTCATCAGCATCCACTATTGATTCGGTATCAATACGCTCGTAGATCTGAATGATAAAATGTTGAATACAAATAAATATAAATATTTTTAGTAAAAATGACACTTGGTAAATAAAATAAAAATAAATAGGATAAAGATTTGAAGAGAGTTTATATTAAAAAAAAAAAAAAAAAAAAAAAAACCTGCCTCACTTGAAGCAAAACTTTTGGAAGAACACCTTTGTGCTCACATGAAAGTTTCACCTGCCAAATAATTTTTACACAACTTTATATCGAGAAAATAAAAATATCCATCATTTATTATTTATAAGATAAAAATCAAAATAAAGACTTCCAAAAATATTTGCTCACCTTTCCTTTGTAGTTGAGGCAATGGTTGTTGAACATCGCGTTGATATCTAAGGAAAATTAAAAGAAGATAAATTTAAATGTCATAATATTATAGAAAATAAACAAAATAATTAACACTCAACAGATTTTACCTGGATTTACATGAGTTCCTAAAACGATTGTTTGCCTATAAAACCTAGCTTGTCCATCAAGGTACCTATAATGGGTATTTTGGTAATTTTAGCAGATAAGGGAAGAAACAGGGGTATTTTGGTAATTTTAGCAAATAAGGGGAGGAAGAGAATTAAGTTCTCTAAATACCATGGTCTTATTCGCATTATATCAGTTCCATGTTGCTTTGATGGAATGCGATTCAACTGCTCAACAACAGTATTCACATGGGACCAATTCTGGAAAAGAAATTTTAATTAAAAATATTAATCAAAAGAAAAAAATTCAATTTAATTTAATAGAAATTTTATTCGGATAATTTACCTGCATTGCTATAATATCTGAATGATCAACAATCAACACCTATCCACAAGATCCCATTCCATTATCACAAGTAATAAGCAAGAAACACGTGTCACTGTGTGTGTTTGTATGTGTGTGTGTGTTTCATTATAGTATAAAAGAAGGTTATGAATTACCTCAATAGAAGACAGATAATCCACATCCTTCTCCTTTTCCAATTCAGCCTCCCCGATTTTCTAGAAAAAAAATAAAATTATAATTATAATATAATACTAATTTGAATTGAGAAATGAATAGTATATTTGTAGGTTTGAGATTTTGACCACAAGAGTTTCATATGTTAGTAGGTTTAGTCCCTATGTAGAAAAAAAATTACAGAAACTATCCCTGTAATTTACTGAAAAGGTCCTTGTGCAGAATTTTTTTACAAAAATGGTCCGTGTGTTTAAGACTTTCGTATGTTGGCAGGTTTGGTCCTTGTGTTGAAAATAAATTACAAAAACTGTCCTTGTAACTTGCAGAAATGGTCCATGTGTCTTAAGACTTTCGGATGTTGGCAGGTTTGGTCCTTGTGTAGAAAATAAATTACAAAAACTGTCCTTGTAATCTACATAAATGGTCCATGTGTCTTAAGACTTTACTATGTTGGCAGGTTTGGTTCTTGTGTAGAAAATAAATTACAAAAACTGTTCTTGTAATTTACAGAAAAGGTCCCTGTGCAGGTTTTTTTGTAGAAACGGTCCATATGTTTAAAAACTTACAAAAATGATCCCTAGTTTATTTTAAAATTAAATAAACAGTAATTAAAAAGGAGAAACAGTTTTGAAATATACTACTCACTGTGATCAAACCAAGAGGAGAAGCAACAATCATGTCTGATGTATAAAAATCACTATACAACTTTATAGTCTTCCTACAAAATAAACAAAAATGTCAATGATTAAAACACAAATCACTGAGAAAAATCAAGAAAATTACAAGACATAATAAAAAAATTACTTGGTAAACTTGATGCCAATCATGAAATGATCATTGTTATTCCCTCCAAAAAGTGTTTGAAAATCTGATGGCTTTGATGTTTTCCAAGATTTTGAGTTTTTACCATCTTCATCTTCATCCTCCTGATCATCAGACTTTCCATGCCCAAACTCATCACAGAATCGACCAATATGCTCTACATTAACCTGTGGGACCCACCCAAAAGTAAGTATCTTTTCATAAGCTTTAAAAATCTATATGATAATATCAACATTGTAAAGATTTACACTTACTCTATGCCCTGAAGGAGTTAAGTGAATCAGCCTATTTATTACCCTGTATGCAATACTTGCCATTGGCAACAAGATCAACACCTGAAATTCATCACAAAACTTATAATCCAACACTAGATAATACATTAATAAGTGAAAATCGCATATGAAATAGTTCATATTCTATAGCAATGTACTTTCATTTATTTGTATATTAAAGAATCCTACTTTCATTTATTCTTATTAAAACATTGTACTTTGAAATATCTATCAGATTGTAGCGACTTCATCCAAATATAAGGCAACTTTCATTGATATATTTGAGTGTAATTTCAAAGTATAATGTCCTAATAAGAAAAAAAAACTGAAAGTAAAATGTTGAATTAGAGAGAAAAGTAAAAAGTTGGTATTTTTTTGAGCCCTAAAACAAGATTGTTAGATCAAGAATATGATACCTTGGGACGAGTAAATCCATGGTCAAGAAAGTTCTCAGTGTCTAGAACTTCCTCATGCTTAGACTCTTTGTTGTTTGACAACTTTTTGTCATTCTTTGTCACAAGATCTCTTGTTTTAAATACATGATTCAGCTGCACAAATTACAAAGATACCCCTTGAACATCCTTCCACTTTATAGAAGAAATTTTTTATATGTAAGCTTGTATTGAAAATGAATGTAAAAGATTACACACCGAGTGCAACAAATAGGCATCCATGATACTCAAGTCTTCTTCTCTACCTTTAAGATAAAATGGCTTTTTGTTGTGGTGCAATATATCCCGATAGGTGTTACCTATATAATAAAAGAAGATAACAAGTTAATTAATAAATAAATAAATAAATAAATAGTCCGAAAATACCCTTTTTATCATCACTTACAAAGGGAGAAGAATGATCTTTGTCTTGATGAATGAAGATCATGCCCTCCAGATGCATTGTAAGCATTCGACCAATGGTCATATAGCTTGGGATTTAAACCATAAGGAGAATCCATGTAGGAATCCTGCAAACACAATAAAGATTTACATGAATGATTGAGGACAAGATGGTAAAAAAGCATATATATATATATATATATATATATATATATATAATATATATATATATAATGTCAGAAATGTCATAAATATGAACAGAATACCTCTAAAAGGAGCTCTTTAGTTGCTACCCACTTGCAGTTAGCTGCATCAACCTCCCACTTATATTTCCCTTTTTTTCTTGAAAGATTTTCAGCCTCTTCTTTTGATAATTTGTAACCCAGGTGAGCAGAGTATGAACTTCATGAAGATGACAATAATATTAAAATAAATCTATACACAAAGTTGAAGCTTGTTACAATTGAACATAAAGAGCACTAAAAATATCACAATACCTTGTGCTTTCTGATTCTTTTGCAATAGATTGATCATCAGCTGTGAAATCTTCTTCTCCATCACTTTCAAATGTCTCATCTGCATCATTTTCACTATGTTCTTCAACTTCTGCCAAGCCTTGAAGATCAGTTGGGTCCAAGTCACCTCTAGGAGATCCAGTTTCAGTTTCTAATAATCAAAACCAAAAAATATAAAAGTTAGAATTATAAAGTGAATGATTCTCTTGGAATTAATGATGAAATTAAGTGTTTTTTACCATCTTCGCTTTGTTCAGAACCACTTAAAGATTCTAAATCATTATCCTTTTCTTCATCTGTGTCACTTTTGCCTTCTTCTGCACGTTGCCTAAGCATAGTAGAAACAAATGCTATGAGTTTCTTAACAGCAAAAAGGGCTTCATATTCTTGAACAAATAAAGATGTCAATAAAGAAGTGTAGAAAGTAAGAAGGATAATTAATTTTCAGTAGGAATGACTACCTCCTCTTGTAAGCATCAGCAATCGATTCACTAGCTGACCCAAGTGTCTTCAACAGGTTATCATACATTGATGGTTCCTTGTAAACAGCAACCTCTTCTTCTTCTTCCACTTCTGAAGCTATATCAGACTGTTCTTCAGATGAATTGCCTACAACACATAATGCAAGCAACTTAAGATGCAACCAATAACTAGTTTGAACGTTATAGCACAATCTATAACAATTTCATATTCAGCTTGTGATAAGTTAAACCATCAAATCCCCAAATAAGATTAGGTAACTTCACTTGCCTGAATCGCTCGGAGAGGAGGGAGTATCTGGAATTTTCTCATCTTCGACATGATTTCTTCTAGCGCGCTTGTTTTTAATATTCTTTGTAAATTCATTTGCTTTAGGCCTGCTGCCTCCTACAACATGATTTTATAAATAATCAAATGAAAGCGAAAAGGAAACAAAAAGAAATAGAGGTTTGAGTCTTACCTCGTTTCTTGCCAAACCTAGGTTTAGCCATAAGAATTTAGATTGAAGCTTTCTGCAAAAAGAAAGAGTATAAAGTAAGAAGAATGAAGAGAAACAATTCAATTGCTAGAACACATACAGTAAACCGCCGGTTAGCTTTTCGATAGTTACCTGCGCTCTGTTCAGCGAAGAACCCTAACTCGCCGGGAAGAACGAGAGAAGAGGGCGGTGAAAGAGGAGAGACGTGAATGATAGTGCGGGAAGAAGCCAATGGTACTTGACGCACCAGGGGGAAAACTCTGGTGAGAGCCGGCAGGGGGACAACGGAAGCTCGCAAAAACCTGTTGGATTTAAACCCTTTATAAACCCTATGAAACGTTGTAGAATGAAAAAGGGTTTTAACCAACGAACTTAGGTTGGTTTAACTTTTAACACATCATTCAATTTTATTTTATTTTTATTTTTTTTGGGATAATGACTTTAAAAGGTAATTTATTTTTCGATTCGTATATATTTAGTCATTGAGTTTTTTTTTTTGTCCACATTTTCCTATTAAACTTATTCAACTGTTCAAAAAACATCATTATGATCTGCTATCGAAGGTTTAGCCGGTTTCCGACGTGTTTGACAACTCCGACGATGCTCCGGTTATCTTCTCCGGTGTTCATGATTTTTCCGGTGAACTCAAGAACTCGGGTCTATTATCTCCCGTCTCTTTCTTAGATCTGAACAAATTTCGAACATAAACTCATATGGGTGTTAGATTTTCAGACTCAAGAACTCAAACTCAAAAATCAATTCTTCATCTTCTTCTGTTCAAACTCAAGAACACACATAAGATCTTCTAATGTGTTTGTTCATCGTGTTCTTGAGATATATATCTAATTCATCAGTTGTTCATCGTGTGTGTGTGTGTGTTAGATCAAAACACGAAGAATACAAAGAACATGAAGAACACGAAGAATATGAAGAACACAGATAACACAAAGAACACAAGGGCTTCAGATTTGAGTGTGTTTGTTAGATCATAACACGAAAAACACGGACCAGATCGAAAAACGAACCTAGATCAGAACACAAACCCATATCTTCAAACTCGATTTGTGGGTTTGAAAACCCTAACTCGAGTTCATCTTCAAGCTCGATTTTGGAAAACCACCACATGTGAGTGTGTTCATCTTCAAGGAACCCAAACACACACAAAATCAATTTCTTCTTTGTTCTTGGAGATCATTTGATTTCAGATATGATGTTAAAGCATGAACACATACACACACACACACTTCTGGAGCTCGTTTGGTTTTTGGGAAGAAGATGAATATGATGAAGACGAACCCTCCTAAAATCGATGAACACACCAGGTCTAGGGATTTCAAGGGAAGCTTCGAGCATCAGATCTGGGTTGAAAACGATGAACATTAGATATGGGTTGGAGGTTGAAGACGATGAAGAGGTTGAAGATGATGAACATCAGATCTAGAACAACACTCTGATTTCAAAACCGATGGACCAACTTCGTGTTCTTAAAACGAAACTCAAAAATCCCAAAGCTCTATTTCTATTTTGAACTCTGTTTCATACCGCCGGAAAAATCATGAAAGTAGGAGTCTTGCCGGAGAAGATAACCGGAGCATCGTCGGAGTTGTCAAACACGTCGGAAACCGGCTAAACCTACGATTAAAGGTCATAAGGATGTTTTTTAAACGGTTCAACAAGTTCAATGGGAAAATGTGGACGAAAAAAACTCAGTGACTAAATATGTACAAATCGAAAAATAAGTTACCCTTTTAAGTCATTATCCCTTATTTTTTTTTACAAAAAGGGAAGGAAGTCCATCACCGTTTTAAAACTTCCTTTAACCTTTTACAATAGGTTAAAATGACTCGTCTGAAGGATGTGTACAATCCACGTAGGATATCGTTTGCATAGTTGGATGGACACGGAAGGTGAACACTTGACCAAGCTTGATTAGCTGGTTTGTGGTCCCTAATAAAATGATACAAACACCCTTTTTACGTTAAACATTCGTATGTTGTTAGCCGTTTAGAGCAATAGTTGTGCCCCTTTAATCTTCCTTCTTCTTTAAAGCTCGCAAGAAATTGAAATGGCGTCCTCTGGTAGCTTCTCATACGGTGGTTTCCATGCTTTTGATTTAGATATACCTACTGAAAACGAACTCCTTGCGATGGAGCTTCAAGTGGATATCGAAAATATGAGAAACAGTGTGAATCAGGAGCTGATGGCTAATAAGGGAGCAGATGGCGGCAATGTATAAGTTCACCTTCAGTTTGTGGATTGTGATTCTCGTGGTGGGTGTTGTTGTCAGCTGAATCCCCGTACGGATCATGTGCTTTCAGTAGTACGATCTCATACTACCTTCCACACCTATTCGTGTTTGACTCAGATTTTCCTCCCAAGACCCAAATCATTGAGCTACTCCACACTACGTGCATTAGCACACACATCTATATCCTCCACATAGCTATTTCTATATCCTAGGTTCCATTAACTACCTCCCGCACTACTAGAAGTCTCCACTAATCCCGCTAACTGCTTTGCGTATCCCAGTTATCCATAATCCATGATCTGATAGACAATCGAATAAATGATTCTACCCTAAGTCCACAAACCAAACAAGGAACAGAAAATAAGGTTAAACCAGACATTTTCAGGCTATAAAATCCTAATCATGCACAATTATGTAGTATACTCATAGCAACTAACAATTTTAACTTCAACTTCTAGCATGACATCACAAGCATTCCCCTAGGCTACAACGCATCATGAAATCAAGCAACTCTATCATGCAACTCTTGATGGGATCCTTAGTCTACCATCTAGCATACATTTCAAACAGCTCTTATAACAACAACTCAGTTACAACATATATGAAAAGTATGAATATTTTAGGAAATCAGTTTTCGAGCTCTGGCTGACTGTACACTTCGCATCCTCCTTTTTGTTTTATAATTTATCTTTTCCGAAAAGTTTTTATGAAATTTCTCAGATCTTTAGTTTGAGTCTGGAATCACACGAGTGTTCATCCAAATCCCTCAAATCAGGGCTTTGATACCAACTTGTAACGTCCAAAAAATCACAACCAAAATTTTCATTTTTAAGTTGAATAAAAACATAGTTTCCAGGAAAACGAAGTCAAGAAAATCATAAGTATCAAAATACATTCATCTCAAAATCAGAGTATCACAAAATGCAGAATCATGAAAGCTGCCGAAGAGAGCGTACAGTCAAGCCTACCCCTTTCCATGACCATATGAAGTACCTGAAACACATTTAAATCCACAACTGTAAGCATGAAGCACAACAGTTCGGATGTACATGTTATGGCATAAGTAAGACAGTGAGAAGACTCACCTTGCAAACAATAGGCTAACACAACAGTTCCCTATCATAAGAGATCGGTACTACGAGACACCTAAACACAGCATAAGAGTACCCTCTCAATCCACACCCTAAAAAATCCTAGGTTGACCCAAATCAACAATGGTCAAAAGTCAACAGTCAAAGTTAGCCCCAACTGATTGTCACATCGTGGCTACCTATTGGTCACGTCGTGACTGAGTCAGGAGAAAACAGTCTCGAAGTTGTCTGTCGCCACGTTGTGACGATCAATCCGTCACGTCGTGGGAACTGCTCTAGACAGCTTAATAAATTAAACTCTTAATCCTTTAAGCCAAGCACTCAAACTTTTCAGAAGTTTTTATCCATCCCAAAGCACCATAAAAATCATTGCTTTTTAGAAATGCATGTACAATGCATGTCTTGAGCAAAAGTTAGGTTAAAATGAAGAAAAATGAGATCAAATCTCATGCATGGAACCCATAACTCGCTAACTTTCCAGATCTGGGATAAGGGGTCACAAAGGAACCTCAAGAACTCATAAAGTTGCTAACTTTATGAAATCCCAACATTTAAACCTCCTCAAACATGGGAGAAAGGACAAAAATCTAGATCTAGCATGCTTCAACTAAAAAGGCAGGAACTTGAGGACTTACAAGAGTCCTAAAACAACACAAGATGATGAGAGGGGGGGGGGGGTTGTGTTGGATTAGGTGTCTAAGCCCATAACTATAATTGGTATGTACTTGAATTGATAGCAGCACAGTCCTTTTGGGTTGCCCTCAACCTAGCAACTGGACAAGGAAATTATGAAAGGAGAGATATTAATTTATAAGATTAATAAATTAATATATATATATATATGATTTATTAATATGTTAATGGATTAATATATTAATTAGAAATCATTATGTTTAATTAATTGTTAGCCAGAAATTAATCAGAATTGATTTTGGGGTTAAAAGAATTAATTATAAGGTGCAGGGACTAGTTTGCAATTATCTAATAGTTGAGTGGAAGGCTCTAGAACCTCCTTGGAAGAGGGTGGACGAAATCTTTAGGGGAAACCCTAATAATTTCGTCCATAGGGGCTTGGATAAGGCCCTTGGGTTTGCTTAGGCCCTAAGCAAAGGATAACTAGGGTTTCCCTTAAACCCTAGATCCCTCAGCTATATAAGGAGCCTCCTGGTTCATGTTTTTGGTCACTCTTTCTTTTGAAGAAACCCTAAGGCCGAGATTTTGCATACTCCCTCTCCCCTCTCTCTTCTACTTTCCTTCTTGCTAGTTTGGGTGTGATTCCATTAGAGGCATTACACTTGTGGTGCTAAAGCTTCCAAGAAGATCAAGATCAAGATCAAGGGAATATCAATTGTTTGCTATAACAATTGAAAGGTATGTAAACTCTAAACCCTAGTTTGTTAATTTCGAAATTAGCCTCTCTCCTCTAGGGTTCTTGTTTTGCAATTCAAAGTTGTATGTTCAATAGTTAAAACATAGATCCAAAGTAGGTTGCATGTGAACTTAGGAATTGTTTTTCTAGTTTATTTGTTGTACCTAAAACCCATCAGTGGTATCAGAGCCATTGTTGTTTTAAATTGAATTGCTACAATTGTTGAATTGCAAATTAGGGTTTATAGCTATTAAACCCTAAAGGCCAATTTTCGATTTCTAGGGTTTTGGATCAAAGGGTTTTTTCGAAAACCCTAGCCTCCAAAGAACCCTAATCGAAATTAGGGTTAGGGTTTTGAAAACCCTAGCCTCCTCCCTTATGAATTTCGAAATATGCTAAGAGGATAACTAGGGTTTCTTGTTTTTGGATAATTGTTACTTAATTAGATTAATTGGATAATTATCCTTACCCTATTTTTCGAAATTAGAGGGATAAGGATTAGGATTAAATTAATTGATTAATTTAATTAGATAATCCTTACAAGATTTAATAATTTGATTAATAGTTAATTAATAGATAAATATTAAATCTAGTTAATTGGTTTATTTAAATTTGAAATTAAT